TGAGATTGGCACAGGATAGAGCAGGGTTTAGGGCTGTTGTACATAGGGTAGCTATGAGTCACAAACGACTCGACGGCACATAACAACAACAAACAACAACCACCAACTCAGGATTTATGGAATGAGTACCCCTGAAAATCCTGAATCTGAAGTACATCTGCCAAATGAACCAAGCTTTCCTATGGTCCGTATCACAATATTAATACCTAAAAGCCTACAGGGAAAATACTGGCTATCAAGCAACAGGAGCTTTAAAAGAAAGAGTAGAAGTATCACATGTAAAAATTCTCTACATAGTTTTCTTCCTAAATCATATAGTGGGTAAAAGAAAAGCTATTACTTTTCATATACAAATACTGTACCAAGAACTGCATTTTTTGGTATTAGATACTTAATGGGAAAGCCAGTAGAATGCTAGCATGCTCACTCAAGCAGTCTGTAAAAATCAACACTGATTGCATATGTGTTCATACCTTCTCCTACTCCAAGTATCTACCATTTTAATGGGAACATTAAGTACTAATGGGTTCAAACTTAACTTGGGGTCAGTTGGTGTCAGATCATAAAGTACACCAAGAGAGTAAGGAAAACACTATGGAATAATTAAAATACTTTACCTGAATGTTACTGTTTTCATAAGGAATCACACTGCTTTCTCCAATAGGCAACATGCACATAGAAGAGTTCTCCATACTGAAGGCCATTCCGCTCATAATATCACTCATGGGGAGATTCCTGTTATCTACCGCCTCTTTTGATTGGAAAGTGTTCTCATCTGCTATCTCTACAGGATCAACCATATCCACAGTCTTGTTCTCTTTCTCACTTTCAGCATCCTGCAACACTGCAAGTTCTTTCTCCGAAGCACTGGGCTGATTTTGAGTAACAGACCTGGTAGTCACAACTAAACGTGTGCCTTGCATGCAAGCCTTTCTATTTAACTGCTCGAGTGGCACCCCTGCGGTATCCATGGCTGGTAAGGAGATGACTATGGGAGGAGTCTCTTTGTCTTCTTGATCTTCACTATGAGGCTCAAGAGTAACAGGTACCCGGATCAGAGGGGTCCGATAATGAGCACCAGTTCTGTACATCTCCACTCTCAATGGAGACCAATTTTTGACCGATGAGCAGTTATCTACATAAGGACTTCTCATGCGTGGATCAGTAATTGCATTGGAATTTGTTCTAGATGAAGCGTCAGGACAATGAAAAGGAAACTTCTTCTTTTCTGAGAGTGATGCCTTTCCTGTCTGAAATGCAATTGGAGACAAAGTAGGAGAAGAAATAGGTGAACGACCAGTTGTGCTTCCCAAACTGTACTTTTTTACATTATCCTGAATTGGACTAGAAGAGAATTGTCCCGAACTTGGTGTCTGCACAGGGCTCTTACACTGAACAGGAGATAAATCTATTGAATAAAAAACTTCAAGTGACGCGTGAGCACCGCTGAGAGGACTTTGGGGAGAGGCTGGAGATAAAGAGTCAGAGATACTTCTATTCCCATCCAAAAACAGCTTTCTTCTGAGAGATGATGAACTGAGGTTTCCTGGAGATTGATCAGCAAATTCATCCGTTCTGAAATAGTCCCCTAATATATTTTCCAAGTTAAAATCCACAGGAAGAGACAGCAATGTCTGACAAGCAGCATTGTTCTTCTCAGGAGGAGCAATCACGTTTGTTCCAACTGGAGAATCACCATTTACATTTATACCTTTTCTTTTCTCCTTGTTGTGTACTGTAGAATCAGATCTGACTGGCACAGGAGGAGACTGCCCCTCCTTCTCCAGCAGAGCATCTGGTGGATTTGAACTGAGCGCCTTTGGGATTGTCTCCATATCTTTTCAATATTTACTGGAATGAGACACTGAAAGTGGTTTTCCATCGTGATTAGTCCAGGGAGAGGGTACGATGACATCTTTCGTGAAAAACTCTTCAATGGCTTTTTGTCTTTTGTCTTCCACATCTTTATCTATTCGGGAATGACTTAAGTATAAAGCTTGTCGATGAATATCCTCTGGGTCTATTTCTACAGGATTTATTACAGCTAGTTGCTCAATAGACCATCTAAATTCCCCTGGAGTTGGTAATTTTGTCGATTTGAAAACTGAAGGGCTGGAGACAGTTTGTTCATGGAGGTTTGAGTAATCACTAGGACTTTCGAAAGGATTCAAAACGGTTCTTCTTTCTGGAGTTTCTGGTGTTATCTGCATTTTTGGTTCGTTGACATCTCCCATAGCACAAAGAGAAAACTACTATGTGTGTAGAATGGAAGCCTCGCTCCTTACGGCAGAAAGCCCTCAATAGCGCATCCAGGTTGCTCACAAGGGGCCCCATCAAGTCAATTTCAACACATAATGAACCTCCATTAGGTTTCCAAGGCTGAAGTGGACAACACACCTTTCCTCCAAAGAGTAGCTAGTGGATTCACTGAATGACCTTCTAGGTACCAGGCCAACACACCATGCAGTATGTAACCAGAGCTCCATTTAATGCATATACTCAAAAAATGTACTGACATCAAGTGGAACTAGCTCAGAGCTCACCCTCCAGTGGGTGTTCAGAGACTGTAAATCACACAGGAGGAAACTGTGCATTTTTCTCCATCAGAGTGATTGGTGAATTTGAACTTATGTGCCTTTCAGGTCAGAAGAATAACTTCTTACTCACTAAGCCACACGGAACTTCCTTTAATGCCAATAGTTATACCTTAAACTATAATTAACCTTTGTCTTGTTTTATATAATTGTACCAAAGTGATCAGACTCATTGTAACACCTGAAATTTGTTCTTACAGAAAGAAAAAAATCAAAGTTAACAAATGTCTTTTTTCCAAGAGTCCAGGTCTTAACAACCACAGCACTGGCCTGTCTGTGTCAGTGAGGATTCTATTTAAGCCTGGATAGCGTATGAGCACATACTGTTCCACTACCAGGTTGCTGTATCCTGACACAATTGCAACTAGAAATTTATGTTCAAAGTTCCTGATAAAATCACATGTTGTTGTTGTTGTTGTTGTTATTGTTTGGTGCTGTCAAGTCAAATACAACTTATAACAACCTTATGAACAAAAGATCTGAACTCTGTTCTATCCTGTGCCATCCTCACACTTCCTGACACACAAGATCCTATTGCAGCACTAACCATGTCAATCCACCAGATTGGTCTTCCTCTCCTTTACCAACCCTCCACCCTTCCCAGCATCATGTCACTCCCCAAGGAATAGCCTCTCCTAACAACATGTCCAAAGTATGTGAAATGAAGCCTCATCATTCTTGCCTCCAAAGAGCACTCTAGCTGCACCCTTTCTAAGATATATCTGTTCATTCTCTTGGCTGTCCATAGGATGTTCTGTTATCTTTATTCATGTCCAACTCTCAGATGCATAGCAAGTGATTGCAAAGATTATGGCCTGAATCAGACGTCCTTTAGCCCTCAAACTGATATCATTGCTCTTTAATAATCTGGAGAGGTCCCTAACTTCAGACTTTTCAAGTGCAATGTGTCTCCTTATTTCCTGACTTCTGATACCAAAGGGGTTAATTGTGGACCCAAGCAAGATGAAGCTCTTGTTATTTTCAATCTCCTCTTCATTCATCTGATGTTGCCTATCAGTCCTGTGGTAAGAATCTTTGTTTTCTTGACATTGAGATATGATCTTGGATCAATTCTATCTGAATTTCAAGATCATCTTAGGAATCGGATTAAGGTATTGAACATTAGTGATCAAAGATCATTATGAAAACAGAAGAGAAAGGCAAAATTTCACTGGGGTATTGAGAAGTCAAAATAAAAGGAAAACATGCCAAAGTAAAAGATCTGAGCAGAAGATTTCAAAGAGTAGCTCAATAATACAAAACAAAGTATTATAATGGAATGTGCAGAGAGCTGGAATTGGAGAATAAAAAGGGAAGAACTCATTCTGCATTTCTCAAGCTAGGAGAACTGAAAAACAATTTTAAGCCTTGAGTCACTATATTGAAAGATGCTATGGGCAATATATTGAATGACCCAGAAGCATCAAAAGAAGATGGAGGGAATACACAGAATCACTGTACCAGAAAGAACTGATTGATACTGAAAAGTTTCAGGAAGTACCATAAGAACAGGAGCCAATGGTAGTAAAGGAGGAAGTGGAAGCTGCATTGAAGGCATTGGCAAAAAAAAGGGCCCCAGGAATACCAATTGACTTATTTCAATTAACAGATACAGCCTTGAATGTGTTCACTAGTCTATGGCAGGAAATTTGGAGGAGAGCTGTCTGGCCTACAGACTGAAGAGGTCCATAGTCTCATTCCCGAGAAAGGTGATGCAATTGAATGTGGAAACTATCAAACAATATCATCAATATCACACGCAAGCAAACTACTGCTGAAGACCATTCAAAAACAGCTAGAACAGCACATAGATAGGGAACTTCTAGAAGTTCAAGCAGGGTTTAGAAGCGGTCGTGGCACCAGGGATATCATTGTTGATATCAGATGGATCCTGGCTGAAAATGAAGATTACCATTAAAGTGTCTATTTGTGCTTTAAAAACATTTGACTGGTGGATCATAATAAGTTGTGGCTGACATTGAGAAGAATGGGAGTTCCAGAGCACTTACTTACTTGTGCTCATGCAGAACCTACACCTGGATCAGGAGGCTGTTGTGTGAACAGACCAGGGAACACTGCGTGGTTTAAAATTGAGAAGGAGTGCATCAGAGTTGTATTCTCTCAATCTGCATGCTGAGCAAATTATCCGAGAAGCTAGACTCTATGAAGAGGAGCGTGACATCAGGATTGGAGGAAGACTCATCAATAACCTGCGTTATGCAGATGATACAACCTTGCTTGCTCAAAGTAAGGAGGACCTGAAGCACTTGTTGCAGAAGATCAAGGAATGCAGCTTTCAGTATGGATTGCATCTCAATGTCAAGAAAACAAAATCCCATATAAGCACTTCAAAATTTGTAAAAAATCAAAGTACTGGTTTCCTAAGAAAATGACAAAAAAGCTGCTCAATTTACAAAGTGACGTTCATTTCTAGCAATCAATTAGGTGTGTTCTGAGTTGTGTATTTTGTATGTTTATCTATAATAAGAGAAATCATTATAGCTTTCATATAGGGAGTAAGGCCTGGAAGAGAACATGAAAGAGTCTATGATGATAAAAATATCAGAACAGAATTTAAATACACCAGCTAAGAAAAATTGCACAGATAAAGTATATAAGCTGTTCATTCTGTACAGTGAATTTTCTGAACCTCTCAAAGTATAAATGTTTTCCGTTCTTCCACAGAAATATGCAAACAATTCATTCTTTTCTATTTTATTTATTGTTTCCTTGAAGTGACTGACCAGGAAAAAAAAAATCATCCTTAAATTTTGAATCAAGCAAGACTTTATTAAAAAACAATTAAGTATTTATTTATATAGCATCTATGATAATGATTCTAGTTTTATAGAGACGAGTGTATGAAACATGACACCCATTCAGTCAGAAAGATCTGAATATGCTTTACTTTATTTCTGTTATCCAGGGAAAAGCACAAATTGCTTCACATTGTCTGTTTCCCCTTATGCAACATCTCTTAAGAGTGTTTAGGTGCATGGCTGTTCAGAAAGGTATTAAGGGCTCAGGCCAAATCTTACTTTAAATAAATTAAGAAATGCTGCTGGCTTTTCTGAAGACAGGTGCTTGAACCTGTCAATTTGTTTTAAATAAATGTAACAGTTGAAAATCTTCCCTCTTTGCTACATCGGTAATACAGTCAAAATAATGAATTAAACCATAACTTACACAGAAAGTGGTCTATTAGAACTGATACCATTTAGTTTATTGTAGAGATTGGAAAGAAGTCCTTGAGCAGCACAGAGATTGTTACATGCTGCTTTGGGATGCTAGGTATTTGTGGAATTAAAAAAAGAATCAGGCACTCTGTACTTATTTTTTAAATCTGTGGTGTTCTTCACATTTAACTCATAATAAATTGATGCAATTTGATACATAAGAACTTTAAAAAGGAAATGTGAACTTTACTGCTTTTGTGTTCAGTTTCAGTTTTATAAAATCAGATGGATTGAAGAGATATGTAGCATTTAAGGAAATAAGACTAGTAATTTTGTTAGTATTGAAATGTTTCCAATTCTTCTAAATTTTCCAAAATTCCACATATCTGACTTAAATAAGCATATCCCCCATTTTTAAAGAGGCCAAATTACTTTTGTTGTAAATTTAAAAAAAACACACCACTTTTTAATTGTTTTTCATCATTAAGGGCATTTGCTAAACTACAAATATGTATAACAAAACCTGATGTGAATGATATTAATGCTACTTTTAGCAAACTGGGCTTCCTTATTAATATGAAAATTTACATTTCCACTTGTATCATGCTTTCAATATGCACTATAAATTTCATTAACTTACAATTTTTTTATAACTATGGAACTGACTTCTTAGAATGTAAGTGATGTGTTACATATTCCACTGCTAAGCACATATGGAAAATACTAGTATACAATTTAATTTCCCTAAACAAGGTTTTGTTTTGCCAAAATTTTCTTTTTCTTTTTTTTTTTCTTATTTGTCAAATCAATTTAATTTAAATTCTTAAAGAATTAACAATTGGGGTTTTCGATTCTTTATACTTTTAAGTTGCCTCTGGTTGCACCCCTACTTTGTCATGTCTTTTTTTCATTTCAATGAACATCTACAGAGATTTTGGGATTCCATTCATTCATTGTTGCACCCTTCTCCCCGCACAAACCCCTCCCCCCATTTGCTCCTCTCATTGAAAAGCAAAAGAAAAACTCCCTCATTGGTACACAATCCCCCCCCCCCGCACCTCCCCAAACCCCACCCCCTAGCCCCAAATATAATCCACTCTACAACCCTTATTGCATACTCCTACGATAAAAATAATGCCCTAAAATAGAATACTTTTAGACTATTCTCTCTCCCAAAATTTTCTTTTTCTACATATTAGATTGTCATTTTATTAAAAATTCACAGCAAAGATAAAAAAAATATCAGAATAGTGTTATTTGTCTATGGGAAATGGGACTCTTTCATATTCTTTTCCAGACAGGCCCCACCTGCAGAGGCAAGTGACACTGTTCTAGTTTCTATCTAAATAGATTAATATCAAGAACAAGCAGCTCAGGACATCATCAGCTGACTGCTCTGACTGGTGTCAATGTGCTATTTTTTTCCCCCTGAGGTGTTAATATTTTGTATTTTGATTGAGTTGTGGTCCATGGGAATAGACAACTGGAACTGACCGCACTTGTACATTTAAACTCTGTATATTTCATTACAACTTTATCTCAATGGGTGGGAGGAGATCTACTGGATTTCAAAGTGACCCTTCTAGATAGTGTGTTTTTCACTGATATCTAACAATGAAATTATCTGATTATCAAATCCTTGAAGAAACTCAAAGGAATCTGGGATGAAGGTCAAAAGAGGGTTAACATTCTTCCTGAAGTCAGAAACTAGAAGAATGACTCACAGACAATACCTCTTGGTGAGCATCATTCACTTGCTCCATAAACACTGACTCAGAAGAGTCAATGCATGATGAGTCAGGCTGTGCCCTGGACAGTGAGAAAGCAGAGGCAAGTGGGAGACAGGGCACTTGCCCTTTCTCAGGACACATGCTTTAAGAAAGGAGTCAAAGAGATTGAACAGAAAAGCAAGAAAATTATAGGCTGTGACAAGTACAGTGAAGGAAGGCATCAGAGTATGTGACTGAATGTAGACAAGCACGTGAGGCAGGCCTCCAAGAGGTAAGACGCCGCTCCCTAACAACTGGCATCTGAGTGATATCATGGGACAAAAGGCATGTGGGAAAGGATGACAGGTAGATAGAAGAGTACAAAGTCAGTCCTGAGGGAGGAATGAGCAGAGGGTGCCTGAGGTAATGAAGTTCACCATGCCAGATGTTGGATGAGCAGGACGGAAGGAGGGCTAGGCTGGGTAGCACATAGTGTCAGGGCCCTCTGGCCTGTGGGTGGGCAGGAGGGACTCTGGGTCTGAAGCAATGGAGTGCCACAGCGGCGGGGCTTCCAGCAGGCAAATGGCATGGCCTAATGCCTTGAGGAAATGGATTTAAATAGGGATGAGGCTGGAAGTAAAGAAATTAATTAGGAACCTACTACAACAGTGTTTCCAAGAGCTGCTGGTGATGTAGAGCAGGGCCTTGACAATAAAGATGGGGGGCGGGGTGGGGGGAACCAACCAGGTTTCCAATACATTGTGGAAGTAAAACTCAAACTTGCTGATACATTCAACATGAAAAATGAGAAAAAGGAACGAGGAGCAAACGGTGGTATCATTTGCTAAAGTGGGAAATTTTGGGAATAGATAAGTCTAGGAGAAAATGAAGGGTTTCATTTTCAAGATGCCTATGGCACCACTGGACCAACTGGCAGTATCAGGATGGATGGTGAAGAGATTGAGATTGTTAACAACTTTAGTTGGCTTGGCTCCACGGTCAACACTCTTGGCATTAGTATAGCCAGGAAATCAAAAAACGCATTGTAATGGGAAAGTCTGCTGTTAGGGACCTCTCCAAAGTACTGAAGAGCAATGGTGTCACTCTGGAGACTAAGGTGTGTCTGAAACAGGCTATGGTCTTTGCAATCACTGTTTATGCATCAGAGAGTTGGACAATGACTAAGGAGGCTAGAAGGAGAATTGATGTCTTTACGCTGTGGTGCTGAAGAAGAGTATTGATGGTACCATGGACTGGTAGGAAAACAAAGAGATTCATCCTGGAAAGGGTCAAACCAGGTGGCTCCTTGGAGGCAAGGATTCTAAGGCTTCGTCTGACAAGCGACTCGGCACATAACAACAACATGGCCTCATAGGGAGCTCTGGTGGCCAAGTGGTAAGGAGCTGTGGGGCCACCTTAAGGACAAACTGTTAGACTCCAACAATTGTTCCACGGAAGAAAGATGGACAATCTCCTCTCTGCAACTGACAGTCTCTCAAAATCTCCTGGAGCTTCACCTATGAGTCAGTTCAGATTTAGCAGCTGTGAACTGAACGAAGCTGTGATGCACATAGGTTGGACACTGAAGTCTCAGCTCAGCAAGGAGTTGAGACTAGAGATGCACAGAGAAGCCTAGCAAACCCAGCTACAATGGGAGGTGCCTGTAAGGTTCCCAGCACTAAGAAATGGGGATTCGGGCCATCTAACCAACTTAACTGTTGGCATCCTAGATGGGCACTCAGGAGCTCCCAAGCCGTGCCCTGTGGGGACCCCAAAGCCTCTGATTCCTACTTGTCTTTCCAACTACCTAGTTCCCTACCCTCACTCTCACATCTGTGTTTTCATCCTTCTTTGCTGCCTCCTGGTGGTATGCAGTAGGGGTCCCTCAAGTTTTGATCCCTTTCTTGACCAACAAACAGCATTAAGCACACAATACGAACATACCAGGAACAGTGAGAACAGAGGGGGATTTTTCAGGTCGTTCATTAACACGGCTGCTATTCTGAATCCAGAAGATGTTGACTGGCTCTGGGGGGCCCGTGGCCTGACAGGTGAGGTTGAAGGCTGTGTTTCTAGTAACATTCATGCTCTCTGGCTGCTTTATGAAGTGAGGCAGTCCTGCAGAGAAAGAATTAAATGACAGAATGTTTCCAATCAAAAGCAAAGGCACACGTATCCACTGTGGAGAGAAAAAGAAGCAGGTTAGCAAATGCACACCCGATGCCTCTTACTCTTCAGTTCTTTAAAAGAAGATTCATCTCCTTCCCTTTAGCTTCGTTCCCTCTGCCCTTCTTCACTAGCTGAAACATTTGGGAGGCACAGTCTTTGGTTTCCCTGCCAAAGCCAAATTATTCTGTAATGTAGGTTTTGCATTATCATGTGCCTCCTATTCATACTAGGAATTCAGCTGATAATAATTTAGGAGTATATTTGAAAGGTTTTGATTCCTGCCACCTTCTAATGTGTAAAATACATGAGGACCAAGACCAGGCTATGATTTAAATCTTAAATTTAACATATATGTTAAAACAGGTCTTTGAAATCCCAAGGGGGAAAAGCAAAAATCAAGTGGAAAAGGAATGAAAACTGCACTTTAACCTGGCAATAAATCTATTCCATTATGTATCGCTTCAGGTCTGCGTGGCCAGGTTTCACCTACTAGAGTTGAATAAGAAAAAACATTTAATTCTTCTAGTTCTAGTTCAAGGTGTCTTTCCAGGATACTTTTCCACAGAGTGAGTGAGAACTGGTTTTACCAGAAAGGAAGCCAGCCAGTTCTAAAGTCCAGATTGCTCAAACTCTCAAGACAGGTCGGTAGGCGTTCAGAGCTCCTTACTGAAGTAAACACAGACTCAAAACAAAGCCATGTAATAGGTCTGCCTGTGCAATCGACTTTCAGACATAAGACTTGCAGATGGGTGACAGTACAGGTGCTCCTCGCAAACTGAAAGGCTAGAGTCTTTCCAGAGGTGAAGCCTGGAGGGGAAAGGCTTGGTGATTCATTTACAAAAAAACTATTGTTGTTGTTATGCACCACGGAGTTGGAACTGACTCGCAGCTGACCCTCCAGCAGGTATTCAGAGGCAGTAAATCACATCCATCTCCTGCAGAGCAACTGGTGGATTTGAACTGTGTACATTTGGGACTGCAGTACAGCTTCTTACTGGTAGGCCACCAGATCTCCCTGTCGCACAGTTCTACCCTGACATGCACAGGTCACCATGGTCTGGAAAGGCCTGGTTAAACACTACGCACTGCTGAATGTTGTCAAAGCCCATTCTTTTAAACAGTGTACACCTGACACTGTACAGTTACAGCCCTAAAATCTCCAAATGTCATTCCTTGGTGGGAAAAGCTGTTGAATAGTATAAACAAAGAACCATTTGTCAAGGTGAGTGATATCTGACCCAACACAGAAGGTATTTTGTTCCTTGGGAGGGCAGATGGTCAGGGACAGTCTTCAACTTTTCTGATTGTAAATCTTTGAAGCCACAAAGTCCACAATCTCCTTTTTTCTTTACTGGTCATGTGGACGAAGATGATACAGACACACTGTAAAACTGTGTTACAGCGAACTAGGTAATCTCGACCTTCCATTCACAGCCTTCCATTCCATTATTCCAGTCTCACTGTCTATGCTTAAGACTTCATTCAGGATGAGTATTTCTTCTATAGAGATGGGATTAGTCCTAACACTAGAAGGTATATACTAGGTATATACTATATACTAGAAGGTATATACTTTTGTGGTGTGGTTATGGCCTCAAGATCCTGTACACAGCACTGTTCAGGGAAATTGTTCACTTGAGACACTGCATCTTCTTTGATCCAGAGGTGCTGACAGCCCAAACAGCTCAGACCGCAGGCTCCTGGCCCATCATCCACTGGTCTTTATGACCACGCACATCGGCTTATATCATCCACAATCACATGTGCCATTTTCCTGAGGGTGTCTGCGTTTCTGTGAGACCATCCAGCAATTCACAGAACCCAAAGACATAGACAGGGGAAAGAGGACAGAAGGGAAAGGAATAACTATTATCAGAGCTGATGGAGCAGGACAGCGGTGAGGGCAGCTGGAACACTGTCAACCTCTAATACTGTCATAGATAATGGAGTGGGGACAGTGGTGAGGGCAGATGGAACACTGTCAACCTTTACCTCATAGGAACAAATCTTATACTAATTTAAAAAGAAACTATTTACATAAAACAAACATCCATGTGGGGACTGGACACCCTGTGACCTCTTAACTTACCTTGCACCTCAATGTAGATAGGATCAGACACAATCTCTTCATTGTTTATTTTCATCTTACAGATATACGAGCCATTGTCTGAACGGTGCACATTGGTTATGCTTCAAGGGAAAACACATAAAGATGGTTATATTTTGAGTTAATGGTCACTCTTTGAATTCTCACTACAGGAACACAGACTTTTTCAACTTCTTTGTCACAGGCTATCATCAGTCTTAATTTCCATTTGAGATGTCATACCAGTGGCTCTCTACTTTGGGACACTTTTCCCTCAAGACACCCTTGAAATGGGGGGAGGGTTATAGTTGCAATAGCAAGCAAGTCACCATGGTTTTCCAGGAGGGACCCAGTAGCACAAAGGCTAAGTAACCAGAGGCTGGCAGTTTACACTCACCCAGCAGGGGAATCACCTGGCCAACTGCACCCAGAAAAGTTACAACCCAGAAGACGATACAGGACAACTGTCCTCTGTCACATGGGGCTGTTATGTAGTGGGATTGGCAATGGGCACCCCACTGCAAGCTTTCCAGGACTGCAACTGCCAGGACAACAAGGAGCTGGCATCCTGCTTGGCACACTCCTGTTTGGGAGACTGAGGGGTGACACGACCACTGCCTTTTCAGCTGTCACCTGCGGGACTCCCAGGATGCTGGTTGCTGGCACAGCATTATCTCACCTGCGGTGATCATGCCCAGCACCAACAGGTTGAAATTCACATTATCATAAACCATACTTCTTGTTTCCCCTATAGTTAAACCATTATGTTAGAAATTGACACAACAAGGTAGTCTTGGTTCTAAGAAGTTGAGGCCCTGCGTTCCACCTTCCCAAGGGGTTTCTAACAGGAAGTTACACAGAGCACTCAGACAGGAGTAGGAAAGAGCGAGAGAGAAAGAGGAAAGTGTAATGACTTAGCAGTAAGGACCTGCACGGCCAACCCAAAGGCACATGGTTCAGATCCACCAGATGCTCAGCAGGAGAAAGATGGGCAATCACTATCTGTGTGATTTACTGCGTCTGAAAGACCACTGGAGGGCCATCTGAGTCAGTTCTTATTTGATAGAACTTAACAGCAACTATGTTTTCCAACATGAAATGTCATTATTGCCTCAAAGGCACTTATTTCTTCTTGAATTATCCAATACAGCAAAGACATGACTAGAAGGGAGAAAATACAAAGAAGTTCATCTTCATTCTCAGCAGCTTGTTTCAATTCAGTATAAAGCAAAATAAAGCCATCCCTCAATTTTCAGAGGCTGGAGACTTGAGGCCTAAAGTAGAAAACTACAGAGGTCAGAGGGAGCTCCATCCTGGGCTGAAGAACCCCAAAGACAATGGGGTTGTACAGTCAGATCTGCACCCAGAACAAATAAGCACCAGCTGGGTCCCAGGCCTCCAGGAGCCACACGAGTTTTCAGAACAAACATTAAATATTTTAATACCATTTATTCTCCCACAATACCATTCTGAAGATCTTTTTTAATCAATTATTACTATCCAGTAATCCACTACTATCTTGTGTCTAGTCAATTCTGATTCTTAGTGAGCCTGTGTGTTTGGGAAGAACTGTACTCCAACTAACTGGAATACACATTAGAAATGGTGTCAATCAAAACCCGAGGTTGTGGTGAAGAACTGTGGCTTCTCTAAAAAGCTACTCAAGTAGTGGAGGTCTGGGATCAGAGCTTCTCAGGTTAGTTATGAGCCTTAACTGTTCCCGGGACCAGTCAAAGTGATAGTCCCCTGGCATTTCATGTACCAATCTGAGGAGAGTACTAGGTCTTGGAACTCTTTGTTCTCCTCTTTCCATTCATTCTCTTCTCTTGCTATTGTTGTTATGTGAATCGCCTGCCACTGATAGAACTCACAGCAATCCTATGTACAAAAGCTCTGCCCTGTCCTAAGCCAATCTTATTGACTTTGACTCACCTACCCCCATTACCTCAATTACTGTATCAATCCATCTCATCCAGGGTCTTCCTCTCCTGTGCTGTCCCTCTACCCTTTCAAGCATGATGGCCTTCTTTCTCCAAGGATCAGTCCCTCCTGGCCATGTGCCCAAAGTATGAGACGGAGCTTCAAAATTCTAACCCCCAAGGAGAAACTTGGTTTCAGCATCTCCAAGACACATTTATTTGTTCTCTTGGTGGTCCATGGTATGTTCAATTACTCTTCTCCAACACCACAATTCAAAGGCATCAATTATTCTGTCATCCTTAGTCATTGCCCAGCTCTCTGATGCATAGCAAATAATTGCAAAGACCATGGCCTAAATTAAGTGCACCTTAGTCTTAGATTGACATCGTTGCTTCTTAGTACTCTAAAGAGGTTCCTGACAGCAGATTATCCCAGTGCAATGCATCTTTTGATTATCTTTCAATCTCTTTTCTATCATGGTGCTGCCAAACAGCCCAGTGGTGAGAATCTTTGTCTTCTTGATGTTGAGTTTCAAGGCAGATTGAAGACTACAGTCCTTGACTATCTGCAGCAAGCGCTTCATGTCCTCCTCAATTTCAACAAGCAAGATTGTGTCTTCTGCATAATGCAGGTTGTTGATAAGTCTTCCTCCAATTTTGATGCCACATTCTACCTCATAGAGTCCAGCATCCCAGATTATCTGCTCTGCATATAGACTGGAAAGATATGGAAATAGGACACACCCGTGACACACTCCTGATTTTGAACTGTGCAGTGTTTCCTTGCTCTGTTCTGAGGACTGCCTCCTGGTCTAAGTTTTGTAGGAGCACAATCAAGTGTTCTGGAATTCCCATTCTCCTCAAGGTTGGCCACAGTTTGTTGTGATAGCATTCTGCATGGATGAATGGGTGCTGGACATAGGAAAGACTCAGTGCCCAAGGGAAGGCCAGATCTTTTTCCTGCTTAAGGTAAGGTGCTTGATGTTACATGATTCTTTAGATGTCACCAGAAGAAAAAAGGAGAACTGAAAGGACAAACATTTCCAAATAAGGAGCCAGCAGACTCATCTCTGGATGTTCTGACATCTAGTTCATGATAAGTAATAAAAACCTTGGTTATGAGAATCTGTCAGGTCTTCTTTGTGATTCCTCAAGAACCTAGGCCCTGACCACGGTCATGGATTCAATTTTGTGAAAATGTATGTCAAGCTGGCTGGTCCAGGATTCTCAGTAGTTTGGCCTTTTTGTAATACTGCAATCTGGCAGTTGTATAATGGCATGATTGTTCTCCATGATGTGACTGACCAGTTTTAAGGAGATTGGTATGGACTGCTGCATCCTCACCCAGGTCATAGTGCTGATGCAATGGAAGAGGAGTTTCTCTGTGTTTTCCTGCATCATCTTTGTTGTTGTTGTTATGTGCCGTCGAGTTGTTTGCGACTCATAGCAACCCTGTGTACAACAGCTCTAAACCCTGCTCTATCCTGTGCCAATCGCACTGCCTCTGACACACCCATCCTGATTACCCCAGTCACTGAATCAATCCATCTCATAGAGGGTTTTCCACTCTTGCGCCATCCTTCCACCCTCCAGGATCTGTCCCTCCTTGCAATATGCCCAAAGTATGTCAATGCATCTTCTTTACCTTATAAAATACAAGAAAAGTGAGCAGAAAAGGAGGGACCTCAGTATTGTCAAGAAAGAAGAGCCACAAACACAGCACGTTCTTTGACCCAGAATACCTTTACTGACAACTCCAAGACCCAGAACTGATGCACGCAGATCTCCAAGAAACACAAATGCTGAAAGGAGACCAGTACCTTTCTTTTGGAGAAGCAGGGACCAGAGAGACAGAGCACAGCCCCAGGAAGACACCTGCACCCAGCGTTGGGATGCAAAGCACAGCTGTGCAAAGGCCACCAGGGAGCCTGAGAAAACTCCAGACATAGCAGTGGTCAGCACAATCTTGGGCTCCAGAAAGACTGCACTCAAGGCCCAGAATGTCTGCCCTAAGGCAACACAAGGAAGAGCAGAGAGAAGAGGAGGAACAGGTCACAGAGGAAAACAATCATAACTCCGTCTTTAGTCCCTAAGGTCAAGAGGCTAACAGTCACCTGATGAGGAGGAACATGTACCTGCCCCGTAAGCAAGTAAGTAAACATCCGTTTCACCTGGATTAAAGGTTTTCCCTAAATCAGTCCACTTGTTCTTCTTACTTTGATAAAATCTCTCACTCAGAGACGAGGTGTGGGTAGTGCTAGACTCAGGAGGACTGGCCGCCCCTCATCCAAGCAGACACAGGGGGTGCTCAAGTTGGAAGACTGAGCTTGGAATGGCAATTGAGGAATTCCAGAAATAGAGTAAAAGGAATTCCAGAAAAAACTGAAGAGATAAATGCACTGTGTCTTATAAAATAATATAAGCAAATGCCCAGAAACTGAAGATATGGAGTCTGTTCTGGCCAGGCCCCCACAAAGGGGATGCCAAGGAATGTCAGGGGATGTCACAACACTAGCAAGAAAGGAGGCTCCAAAGCTTACAGAGAGAGCACCATACTTCTTACCCAAAAGAAAATTATCAATTATTTCAAAATCACAACAGGAAACGATTTCCCTCTTAAATTCTATATCCAGCCAAACTGCCTGGGGGAAGAAGGACAGAGGGTGCTGAGAAGGTATTCTTCACACACTCAAGTCACACTGAGCAGAGAATTCACCATACACAGAGTAAGGGAGTACACCACCAAAAAGAAGGACCTGGTCTGAGAGCAGAGACTGGACAGGGTCCCAGGCTGACAGTTACAGTGACTCAGATGGCTCAGCCAGGAATCCTAGCTACCTGTGCAGATCAGCACAGAAGGAGGGACCCCAGCGTCTCCAGGAGAATAATCAGCCCTGATAATTTGGTCACAACCCACATACAGACTGAATATCTCTGGAAAAATACCCCAAGATTTGGGGAGGTTGAACTCTGCTGGGGAAAAGACTGGAGTCTGAAGTGGGGCAGCAAATTTCTGAAGTTATTTAGCTTTTACCACAAACATGCAAAGCTTCTTCAATAGTAATAATAAAAAGGAATAACAGCTCATCAGATTTTGATAAAACACAAATACCTAAATCAAGAAAGCTCAAGGAAACAATAGAGAAAGCCTTTGGGTCCAGCCAGGCACTACTGGACAGAAATGTGGGGCCAGCACTGCAAAAGGCCATCAAGCCAGGTCAGCCTGAGGAGCCCAAAGATACCCTCCAAACAGATCACTCTTCACTTCTCAATCTGTTACAACTGGGGCTTCAAACTGATTTGACCGAGATGAGCAGAATCCCCAAGTAAGCCTTAGATACACAGACCAAGATCAAGGGTGGAAATGAACCAATCTGAAACCTTGGACCAGCTTGATCAGAAATGACTGGTTAAGTATTAGTTATATTCTTAAAAAAAATCCACTATTGAACTTCCTGTTTCACCTGTCACAGTCCAAGGAATCCTGGCGGTGCAAAAGTGAAGTGCTCAGCTAGGGTGTACTGTGAATCAGGACACTTGATCGCAACTTGATGGCAAACTAAAAGGCTAGTGACTCTCCCCCAAGGCAAAATCTTCAAGACCTATTTCTGCAAAGATCATTCATTGCTGTCAAGTTGATTCCAAGTCATATCAATCCTCTATCAGGTCTGCGAGCCTGTGAATCCTTACAGGACGAGACTGCCTATCTTTCTGTGGAGAAACAGATGGATTGTTATTCTTGTTGTTACATGCCATCAAGTCACCTGTGACTCACAGCTATCCTATGTACACTAGCGCTGAAACCTGCCTTATCCTGAGCCAATCGCCTCATCTCCAACAGACCTAATCCCATTGCTCCAGTCACTGAGACAATTCATCTCATCCAGGGTCTTCCTCTCCTATGCTTTACTTCCACCCTTCCCATCATGATTTCCCTCTCCAAGGACTGGGCCTCCTGGCCATGTGCCCAAAGTATGCGAGATGGAGCTTCAAAACCCTCACCTCCAGGAAGCAGCTTGGTTTCACCCTCTCTAGGACAGATTTATGTGATTTCCTGACAATACTACAGCTCAAAGTCATCGATCCTTCTTTCTTTTTTTTCAAATTAATTTCAATGAACACTTAAAGAGATTTTGGGTTTCCATTCATTCATTCATTGTTGCACTTTTCTCCCCGCCCACCCACCCCTCACCTCCAGTTCACTCTTCTCTTTGAAAAGTAAAAGAAAAATTCCTTCATTGGTATACAATCCCTCTGTACTCCCCACCCCTACCCTGAGTATACTCCACTCTGCAACCTTCATTGTGGACTCTTATGATAATCATAATGCCCTATAAGATCCTTCTTTCTATCATCTTTAGTTATTGTCCCACTCTTGATGCATAGCAAGTAACTGCAAACATCATGGCCTGGATCAGGCACACCTTAGTCTCCAGAATCACATTATTGTTCCTTAGTACTCTATAATGGTCCCTGACAGCAGGATTTCCTAATGCAATTCATCTTTTGATTTCTTGACTGCTAGTACCACGAGTGTTAATTGTGGAACCAAGCAAGCTGAAGTTATCAACTATCTCAATCTCTTCTCCATCCATCACGAAGCTGCCAATTGGCCCAGTGCGTGAGAATCTTTGTCTTCTTGACGTTGAGCTTCAATCCATATTGAAGACTCTAGTCCTTGACCTTCAGCAGCAAGTGCTTCAGGTCTGCCTCAGTTTCAGCAAGCAAGGTTGCTGAAGCAATCTGCATAATGCAGGCTGTTGATGAGTCTTCCTCCAATTCTTTTTTTTTTCTCTTTTTTTACACATTTGTCCCCTGGTAGCAGGAGCACACAGCAGCCCATATGGTTTCTCTGGCAGACAGAAAAAGCACCGGGCCTGGGACCACAGTCAGATGAAGAGTGAGTCTGCGATCTTCCTCCAATTCTGACACCACATATCTACTCATAAAGCCCAGCATACGAAACGATCTGTTCTGCATATACATTGAAAAGGTATGCAGCTGGATTAGAACCAGACTATTTGGTTAACAGCCCAAGCAACACACTACATTATGGGCACCTTGCAGCCTAGAAAATCACATGGATCCATTCTACACTCTCTCACAGGGTCACCAGGGGCCAAGATAGGCTCTGACAGCACCCAACAGCACAGTGTAATGGAGACTCAGGAGCAGAGAACTATAAATTCTGAGCTGAAAAGATGTCTTCTGAAAATAAAACAAGTCAGAGAGTGTCAGGTGTCTGAAGCTAATAATAACTTTTCCAGCTAATGCTTTGCAAAAGAAATTAAGTCCTCATTGACACTTCATTGATTTCTCAGGTAATGGTAAATTTTCTTGTCACTAATGACAGCAGTAAGAACCCAGAGCAGGCACCAGTCAGATGACACATCACAAGGTGTGAGGAAGGAGCTGTCCCTTGGTGCCAGGACAGAGAATCAGAGGGCAAGCAGATGTCTCAATGCACAGCAGACATGCACGGGGGCAGATGGAGGCCTCAAAGGATAAGGAACTTCAGGACTTCTAAACCATCCACTTAACGTCTTTAAAAAGAAAACTTAACGAGAAAGAAAAATTTTCCTAGCTTTAGCTACCAGAAACTGTGCCAGAATTTAAAGAGCACTGGGAATCTCCAGACTAAGCAAACAAAAAATGAAGCAACAAACACTTCACTTAACCTCAGATCACCCAATAAGTAAATCAACAGGGCATGGAAGAGGATGTGTGTTGGTCTGGCCAGGCCTTTCTGGGTACTTTACCTGGCAGGGCAGTTAAAGGGCTTTTATTCCTATAGCAGCTCCTGAGTTTAGTCAGCAAGCCACCAAATCCAGAGAGGCTGAATGCATTCTGACTTACAGTGACCCTGGAGAACCACCCCATAGGGTTGATAAGGCTGTAAAACTTTACAGAAGCAGATTACCACATATTTCTCCTGTGGAACAACTGGTGGGTTTGAACTGTTGACCTTTCACAGTTAGCAATCAAGAATTTTATTGTGCTAACATGGCCCCTCATCCAGTTGCCCTTGGGTCAAAGTGTTACTGAGCTACATAAGGTTTTCAATAGTTTATTTCTTAGAAATAGATCACGGGGGGACGTGGGAATTGTATACTAATGAAGGAATTTTTTTTCTTTTTTTCTCTCTTCAGAGGGGGAAGCGAGCTGGTGGGGAGGGGTGGGAAGGGGGAAAATTGCAGCAATGAATGAATGGAAATCCAAAACCTCTGTAAAAAAAAAA